ACCTATAAAATTTTTACCATCATCTTAAAGTAGGTATATTTTAAGCATATCTGCAAAAAAAAATTAGACTTTTTTATTCAAAATTTTCTAAGATATACACAAATTTACATATTTTTGCGTTTTTGAAATTTGGCATCTTTTTTTTTGAGCGATAATAACGCCAAATGTGGTCTATGGATTTTTGTTACACTGTATTGCCACAGCTATTTTTAAACTTAAATTTCAAGTAAAATTTTACGGAGAATTAATTATATGACATTTTTTCCCTCAATGATGTGTAATAAATATTTATTAATACTATATGAAAAGCTATTTTTTTAAATAAATTTTTTTAAATTTCTCTTTATCTTTTTTTTTTTTTTTTTTTTTTTTTTTTAAATAAGAGTAAATTTTTACCTTCGGCGTTTTATCCTCTGCTACTTTACTTCGAATTGTCTAAAACTGAGAATTTTTGTTTGATGTTTATTTGAATTTTATAACATTAACTGCACAATTTATTTCTAAACAAACTGATGCTTTTGAAGTGGCTGGTACTATCATCCATATTTTTAAAGCACAGTATATTTTTATAGAAACATAAGATTTAGAATAGTCATTTTTATAAAAGTCAAATTATGATATAAATATACAACCCTCTAGAGACTGAATTAATGGAAGTTCAATGGTTATGTAGAAATGATCTGCAGCTACTTAATCGCTGGATAAGTCAGCAGATTCCGTGGACAAGTAAGAATCATTATATAAACGACACCCAACATTCTGAATTCAATTAACAACGAGGATACGATGTTTATTAAATGAATTCAAGAAGTTTTAAAACATAAAAAATCAACTCATTTTTTATTCTAAAATATATTTTTGTGCGTAGCGTATTTTCATTATTCTAATTTAAAATTCTAATTTAGAATGTAATTGTCAAGAACTGATTCCTAATCATCAGTAATATAATAAGTAATTATTACGGTTATTAATAAATCCTTCTTATAATGTAATTGCAAATATTTCAAAAAACTTTGTCTGAATGCAAATATTTTTAATTTTATATTTATCAAGATTGCACACGATATTATTTATTTGCACTTCAATTCTTAACGTCAGTTCTAGTAGAAGTTGCAAATAAATTATATTTAATTCAGGATTGGATTGGATTATTTAATTATGGCAAAGCACACGAGGGCTATCTGCCTAAAGGGAGGGATGCCTTCGTGGAGGACTTTCTAAGGGAAACTGGCTCATATACACGTTGCACATCGGGAAAACCACGAAAACACCCATGCAACCAGCCTGTTCGCGAGATTCGAACCTCGGACCGAACTACCAGTGATCAGCGTCTTTACCGCTAGGCCGTTTGTGGGCCTTTATGAAATGGAAGGCGATAACTTTATTTAAAATGATTGTCAGAAATACCAAAATGTTTCGAAAAGTTGGATACTTTTTAATATACTTTCAGAATGCTTAAAGAAGAAGAGAAGAAAAATAAATTTTTTCGTAAAATTTAGTATTTGTATTTTTTTAATTTAAAACTTTTCAATGTTATGATATTTGATTCTTGCGATTTCAAAAATAAAATATTTGACTAAAATATGAATAACATTTTAAGAAACCAAATGTAGGATAAAATTGTGTAAAGCAATGGGCATAATGATAAAACCGTTTAAAGCAGTGTATGCAAGTCATCCTAAGTTAAAATGTCGGTTATACATCTCTCTTATTTATATATATCTTTTCTTAACAGAACATTGAAAGGCGTGTAAAACTGTGCTTTACTGTATTTTCTCTTTATATAGTATGCAGTTTTCAAACTCATCGTAGTCTGGGTTACAAAGTATTCTTCCGAAAGAAGAAACGCAGTTCAAATAAATAAAATCAAATTCTGGAAAATTGATATTAATAAATATATTTAAAATGCTCAGTTCGAAGGAATAAATAGAAAATTTTAAAACAATTATCTGAAGAGACAATGCAACACAAACAATTAAAATAAAAGTATAAAAATTTAAAAATTACCTAAAATAATAACTATGACGAAAAAATATATATAAAGAAAACTATTTGAAAAAAAAAATAAACGCTGCACCTTTATTTACGCAGTTCGAATAAGTAAATAAAAAATTTTAAAACAGTTATTTGGGGAAAAAAAAAAAAAAAAAAAAAACGTGCAACTTAAACAATTAAAATGAATTCGAAAAAGAAAAAATTACTTAAAAAATAAGTTATAATTAAAAATATAATATAAAGAATATTATTTGGAAAAAAGGAACGATGGTGACTTTTTTTCCTCTCACGGGAAAGGAAACTAGGTTGCCATATATTAAGAAGTTCGCCAAGTGAAGTATTCTTGGCGCAAACTGACAAAAAAGTGCCAACATAAATTTGTGAATTTCTCCATAAATTTCGCTCCAAATTTTACGAAATTTCATATTTAGGCGTAATTTGAGTCGTAGAATCGAAATATGTAAAAAAATTGGTATGTTATTTCAGAAAAAGTCCGATTTTGTGTCAAAATACCTATGTTAGAATAGTGCTATATATAAATCTAATATATATCCTAAGTCGCGCTTTCGAGACATAAAGAATGCAATTTGAATTTTGTCGATCAGCCCAGTAGATCGGGAGATATAGGACTGTCCCATTTTTTTTTTTTTGAGCAGTGTACATTAACAATCATTTAATTTTTTATGTAATTAATGTGGGTGTGCTTATATATATATATATATATATATATAAATAACTTTTATTTCTCTTGTGTTACATTTAAAAATACTACATTCCTGCAATATACATATTTGAAACAGATCCACTACACAGTGAACACTCGTTTTCCAACACAAAACCAGACATTTTCTTCTGGTTTCCATTTTTTCCCACTTATAATTGTTAACAGGCTTCAAGCTGTTAACAATTATAAGTGGGAAGCAGAAGTTAACCAAAATAAAAAAAAAAAGGCATAGTATTTGCAATAATATAAAAAGCTTTTCACCCCTACCCCAACAGATGAGACATTCAAACTCAATTACCCAGCAAAATTTACAAAATAAATAAAAACTAAAATTTTAAAAAAAAAAAAAAATCATCATTCGAATAAACTCTAAATTAAAAACTGTTAAACCTCAAAACTTTGTAAAAATTAGATTCAACGAAGCCCAACAAAAGTATTCATTAAAAGGGCATGATTATAATAATTCAGCATTATTAAAGCATTAGTATCACTTCGTACAGAATATGAGTGTTCTATTTATCCAGTAAATCATATACTTAATCTATTAAAATCTGCCAAATCATCTCTACTATCTAGCAAAATTTCTCGAATCATCTCTAATTCTGGTCTATTTATCATTTCAGTATACCATTTAGCAAATTTGTATTCAAGTAATCAGTATGTTGCACTTTCTAAAAAATTCTCAAAACTAACTCTCAAACTGTCTTAATAATTTTGGATATAACCAAAGGTCCCACATGTTTCTAACAACTCATGCCACAATATATAAATACCACATTGTATATATGAACTCCCAGCATGGCTGTTGAAATCTAAACTATTAATACCTGAACTGTTACTCAAATATTATTTGTTACATAATGTTGCTAAAAAATGAACCTCAACATTCAAGAGTTTAATTACATACTTCATTTCCCAAATTTAATTTGTTAGTTTTTATGTCTACTTATTGATAAAAAAAGTTTGTCTTCAAGTTACAGTTATATTTAAAAAAATTAAAACTAATATTTGTTAAAGGTAAACCTCGTTTAAGTATCAAAGAGCTGCAGTTTGGCCATGCCCGATATACAGTATATTATTTAAAACAGAGTTAAATTAAAATAATGAAATATGCATAGATTTTTAAATGAAACAAACACTTATATCTAACAATTATAAAAAGAACTAAATAAATGCATGTAAAATGTCACAACAAATAACTTAATAACAAATAAATATTGATACTGCTTCAGAATTCTTAATTATAAAATTGCTATTGCAAACAAATGGCTCTCTCATGTTTCCTTGAAACTTCAAGTTAAGGGATGAAAAGAGAAGTGGTAATGCTACATATGAAAATTCAATATTTCATTGCTAAATCTTTTTTTTTTTCCCTCCTGGTGTGAAAGAGAAAAAGATGCACAAATAATCCACAAAATGGATAAACATGAATTTGAGACATGACAGAAAGAAACTTTATACAGTACAAAGTCCGTAATCCGGACCTCAAAGCCACAAACTTACGCATGCGCGTAAAGCATTTACGTATACGCATTTGATGCACGCATTCGCTACGCATATGCATATAAAGCCAGTAAAGCGTTTACACATGTGCACTTCCGATAGTGAAGAAAGTGACAGAGAGGTTATTGAAAACGAAAAAATTTTTATTGACAAGTTAGTCGGTATTCTCGATACAGCAATTACAGGACTTGAACAGTGGAACTTTGTAACTGAACAAGAAATTATGTCTGTTTTTAGAATTAAACAGAAAGTATTAGCACAAAGAAACGAAGCAACTTACACAATTTACATTGAAAGAAATGTTTAATAAAGTAAACAAATAAATATTAAGCTTTTTTTTTTTTTTTTTTTTGTAAATTTTGATACCCTTTAGATAATCATTGCTCTTATTTCATAAATTACTGTTTCAAATTTTTAATTGTATAATTTCTGCATGCCATCTTACCAGATTTAAATTGATGATCTATAATCCAGAAAAACCCCTAATCTGGAATCGCCGAAGTTCTGATGAATCTGGATTACGGACTTTGTACCGTATTTAACCATCGAAAACATAAAGCAATGAAGAGCAAAAGATTGCTTTTTCTTTTTAAACCTTCCTCTCAGAATGGTATACGAGAACATTTCTAGACCATTTTTATATTAAACATTTTGCCCTTTGTTTATCATTGCACAGCAATTTTGAGAAACTAACAAAATTAAACTGATAACTTTATAGAAGAAGTTTGAAATTGCATGTGAAATACTAAAATAAAAATTATTATAAAATTGTACTTACATCTAATTTTTTCTTTTCAGGTTTAAAATACAAAACATTCGTATTTTGGTTTTCCCTACAATAAAAGATATACATAGATATAAATATCTAAAATGACAATTTTATATTAACTGTCTGAACATCATGCAGCACTATTATGCTGCTCACACTCTATTTCCACCTCTCTGATCTATGAAGTTCACTTACGGTGTACTTAAATTATACAATTACACCATTGAGTGTAAGTAATTTTATTTTAAAAAACATATTTAATTGGAATATTTTATGGTGCAATTTTTATAAAATCTTTTATTATTAAAAAAAGAAACAAAATTGTTTAACATGCACTTTTGAAACTGCAGTTACATTACTTTACACCTTCAAATTTCTTCACTGACTCGCAGCACTCGAATGGATCATTTACACAAGAAAAATTTTAGGTATGTGTGTATTATCTGCTACTCGTAACTTCAGTCACAATCAAAAGTTGATAGCTTTCATAAAAAGATCTATCCTTTTATTATAATCATCTCTTTAACCTTTGCAACATTTTCTTAGGTTCACTGTAATAGCTTCATTTTGTTTTACCCTTTGATGCATTTCAGATTTGTTCTCTTATTGGATCTTTCAGATTTGAGAAATAATAAAATTAAAACTGTAAAGTTTGTTCAAAATCACAGAAATTTGTCAAAACGTCAAATATATTTTAATTCTCATAGAATGGAATTATACATTACTAGAGAAAATTTATTATGGAATGATAATACTGAAAAAATGCAGACAGATGGTATGAATGACTATAAGAAATGCATTTCAAGTAAAGATTCTCAACCTGTGGTATGAGGGTATACGAGACATGAAAATTTTTTACGAAAGCATCACAAAAGAAAAACAGAAATCAGTGTTGAGAATCGAGCATTTAATTCATATTATGTGCAGTTTCAGTGGCATCATTGTTTTATTGTTTTATTATGTTTGGCATCTGGCATCACTGTTATTTTTGTCATTTCTAAAATTTATCATGTAAAAAGTACGTTAAGTTCTCTTTACCTTTTTTTATCAATAAAATATAAAATTCAATTAGCAATCGCTCTGCATGTTAATTTTATAACAGGTTATGGGTTCTAGTTTAAATAAATTAACGTTTAACTGCGTAAATAAATTAACGATGGCTATGTTGACGTATTTGAATCGCAGATTTTCTTTTGACTTTCATTTTCGATTTCAACACTTCCATCTGAACAGTGTGTAGGTAGACACTACAGTGTACCGATAGCCTTTTATTTCTTGCTGCATATTTCCTGGTTAATAACGACGTAATATGGAAGCTAAAAATTTTGTTCAGTGTACCAAATTGGAAGGTTTATCCAACTGGACTGATTGGAAATTTGAAATAAACTCTTTATTTGTGCTCAACGATTGTGCGGGCATCTTCGATAATTCCCTTATCGAGCCAAAAGCTCCGGCAGAAAGCGCGAATGAAAAAATGATACATGAGTACAATGAAGCTGCAAAGGTGAATGTGAAAGCTGCTGTGATCATTCGCACAAATGTATCACCTGTGTTAAATTTGATCCATATGCATGGTAATTCTGCACTAGCAATATGGAATGAATTATTAGGTAACTTTGAAAAGGTGTCAAGTGTAAAATTGGACACTCTTCTGCAACAGTTTTTCACTTTTCAGATCGAGAAAGACGAAAGTTTAATGCTGCCGCAGAACCTGCTAGCACCGCGAATCTTATCTATTCTTCCTGATGACGAATATATAGAGTTCAAATCACAGTGGGACTTAATGCCAAAAATGGAAAAGTCACCTGAAAAACTGATCGAACAGATCAACATGCAGCTGCAGGGAAATCAAGAGCTTAGAAACGAAAGTACGATAACATTTGTGGCAAATGCTAATTATATAGCTCAAAAAATAGTGGAAAGAAATGGAAGAAGAAGGGGTGTAAGAAACCTCAGATGGTCAGCCAATCCCAACCCTTGACAACAAATAATGCCAAAACGATGAACAAACTTAGTAAGACCAGTGATGGCGTGAAAGGTTTCAATGGCATCTGTTTTCGTTGTAATAAACCCGGGCACATTGGTAAATTTTGCCCAGTTTTCCCTGACATGCCAACCACGACGAATAGCAAAACAGAGACCTTCTTTGCAAATACTCAATGCAGTGCGTTTGCTTGTCAAGAAGATGATTGTGGCCGAAATGTGTGGCTTAAAGACGATGGAGCTACAGTACAAATTCAGCCAAGTATTTCAAGATGTACCGTCACTTTGACAAACAAGCAGAAATCACAGTCAGTAACAAACAGACAATACCAGCATAAGGCTGTGGGGACATTGACATGTGTGCGGTGACTAGAAACATACAAAAATCTATTGAGCTGACTGATGTACTGTATGCACCAGAAATTGGCAAAAATTTGTTATCAGCCTCAAAGGCAATGAAGCGAGGAATCTCGAACTTTGGTGATTCAGACGATATGATTTGTAATTTCTTTCGCAAGGAGATCCCAGATAATATACTTTTAGAAGCCCCATGTTCATCAGATGGACTCTCTGAACTATGTGCAAAACCAGTCAAGCCATAAGGGGGTTCTACTGCTGCAGCCTACTTGGTTGACAAGAAAATGACGACTCCTTTTCCTGAGATGGCAATAAAGACGATGACAAAATTGCCATTATCACTTTGGCATCGACGACTTGGGCATCAAGGAATACAGTACGTGAAACAGTACTTGCACCAAAATGGTATAGATTTTATCGACGATGGACTATTTTGTGAGCCATGAGCATATAGTAAACAAAGTTGACGAACATTTAAACCAAAACGATTCAAAACACAAAAGTCTGGTGAGATAATACATGCAGACTTACTCAAATCGGCAGTCTTATCAAGAGGTGGAAAGAAGTACATGATAGTGATTAAGGACGATTACTCTAAGTTTCAACATGTAGAATTTCTGAAACATAAAGATGAGGCTGTGGATAAAATCAAGCACTTTCTTGTTCTGACCAACAAAGATGGTATAAATGTAAAAGAACTGGTCACAGACGGTGGTCGTCAGTTTGATAAATTGGTGAAACTAACTGATGATGGCATCAAACTGCAAATCACTATGCCACATACACCAGAACAAAACGGATTAGTTGAAAGGGAGAATCGTACAATAATGAATGCAGTTCGCACTATGATCAAGGATTCAGGCTTACCACAGTTCCCGTGGGCAGAAGCAGCATCTACAGCTGTCTACGTTCTCAATCGAACTGGACCAAGTAATACTACAGGAAAATCTCTGTTTGAGGAATGGTTTGGACACAAGCCGGCAATCAACAGAATTTGAGTTTTTGGATCAGCTGCATTTGTACATGTACCAAATGTCAACAGAGGTAAATTAGATGATAAGGCTATAAAGGGCTATTTGGTTGGTTATTGTGATGACGATGGGTATCGCATTTTCATACCATCAAGGAATGATACGATAAAAAGTGCCAATGTAGTGTTCAATGAACAGCAAATCGGCCCTACTTCCCAACCTTCAAAATTAGCATCTAACACCGGTCTGTCAAGCGGTAGTATGAAGTTTATTTTGGAAGATGCACACGATGATGCAGACACACAGGAAGGGCTGGTGATCTGTGCACTGATGAAGATGAACCAACACAGATGACCGCACGTACACTGCGAGACCATTCAACTATCCAACGGCCTGTCAGATTTAATGACTACGATGTGTATAACAAGCATTCTGAAGTTGGAAAGAGCCTAAAACATATGACGAAGCAATGAAGTCTCCTGAATACGCCGACTGGAAACGAGCCATGGACAAGGAAATGGCTTCTCATGCCAAACATGGAACATGGCAAGTTGTTGAGCCACCTAACGGATGTAAAATCCTCGACAATCGCTTGGTTTACAGAGTGAAGACAAATCGCGATGGCTCAATCGAGAGATTCAAGGCCCGGTTAGTAGCAAAAGGGTACACGCAGATGGTGCATATCGACTACGAAAACACATTTAGCTCAATGTGTCGCTATGACACTATTCGAGCTTTAATTGCAACGGCAGCCAAGGAGAATCTCAATTTATATCAAATTGACATGGAGATGGCATTCCTTTACAGTGACCTAACTGAGAAAATCTACATGTATCAACCCGAAGGCTATAATGACGGAAGTAAGCGTGCATGCAAGATGCTTCGACCTTTATACGGCTTGAAACAAGCTGGACGATGTTGGAATGCCAAGTTTACTGACGTGCTGAAGAAACATGGTATGATACAAAGTAAATCCAACAACTGCCTGTTCATACGAAATGATTATGGACATAAGACGCTGATGGCGATTTATGTTAATGATGGCATTGTTGCTGTTCAAGACAAAGCAGCATTCTTCCCATTTATGGATGAGCTCAAGCAACATTTTAACATTCGAGTAATGACGTTAAATTGTTTCCTTGGTTTACAAGTTGAACGTTTGAAAGACGGCTCACTCTTCCTGCACCAAGAAGCATTTACAAGAAAGATATTATGGAGATGCTAAGATATCACACATCCCAGTAAAGAAGTTGAGTCTCAAGGTCGACTATGGTCAACCGAATGACGACAATGGCATGATCAAGATCAAGGAGGCGAAGCCTCTCAGCAGTCAAATTCCATACTGATCAGTAGTTGGCAGTTTTCTGTACTTGGCGATGGGCACCCGACCAGACATTGCTTACGCAGCGAGTTTGATGTCTCGATAGCTGAAAAATCCTACAGAGATTGATTGGGAAATCATACAGACAACATTAAGGTACCTTCGCAATACCATAGGACACGGCATTGTGTACAATAATGAAGATGATAGAAGTTTGATGTTGTTTAGTGATGCAGATAACATCAGCTGTGCAGAAACACACAGGTCTCGAACAGGTGTTACTTCTTTCCATGTTGGAGGTGCAATTACGTGGCGAAGCAAGCTACATGATGCCATATCCAATTCGACGACAGAGGCAGAGTTCGTGGCAGCAGCTGATGCTAGAAAAGACCTGATATGGTTGAAGAGCTTGTTCAATGAGATAGCTAATAA